GAGAAAATAAACCGAAACGTTGAGATCATACGACAGCTGCACAAGAACCTAAATAGAAGTGTTCAAGCCATTAAACAAATTAAACTTAAACATCTTCCACCATGTATTTTTCCTCGTCCACAGTCGGTGATGCAGTGAGTCTTGTGATTGGTTTTCAAGCCAGCCAATCAGAATTTAGCAGCCTCATCTCTGATTGGCTGGAATTATGGCATATTGTAACGCTGGGTTGTGTTGAGCACACAAGCCATCTGCGCTTTGAGAGCGTTTATGGTTGGTATGAGAGGAGCAAGAAAGTGAAACTTTGCACATGTGAAAGAGAATGTCTGTGCACATCCAAATACTTATTTTAAATGCAAAATTGATTTTCGTTCGCTCGAAATATTTTCTTATCTGCGAGACGAACGTTTCTCCGCAAAACTCAGTACACACGCTTGCGAAATGCCCTTTTGCGCACTCAAAATGTGACCTTGAACACGCAGAATTTTGGCCGAAATCTAATCCCATACTAGGGGCTCAAGTGAAAAAAAGGTACTTCTCAAAATTAGTTGTTTTTTGTTTTTGTTTTTACAAAAAGGTATATATATTATCACAACTCTGCACATTTGTGAGCTCATCTACATGGCCCCTCCTCTTCTGAGTTTGAGGACTCTACGGCGAGTCGGAGAGGACAATCCAGTTTCAAAATTCAGTGCGCGAAAATAGCAAGGAGAGGATTTGTTTTACGGGTAAACACACTGTAAATGACTGTGAACTGTACATGTAAATTAATTTAGTTAATTTGTTAAGATCCAGCGCAGCACTGGATGTAGTCTGGCTCATACCCCCGATATAGACCAATTCCAAACCACATTAATCTTGATAACTACTATTCATTTTGTATTTAATCATAATACAACAACTGGCGAAAACTCAGTATCAAGTCTTGCTGCCAATCCTGTTTTCCCTAGTAATGGCATGGGAGAAACAAAGCTTTTCAAAGCTTTGAATCAATTGAACAAATTTCTTTGCAAAATGATTGGTCTGCTGGCCACAACAATGTAAATGCAACAAAAACTCATGCCAAACATGCATAAAAACAGTGTCAAAGGTCACATGGAACACACTGCAAGCCACATTAAAACTGGTTTGATGTATATGGGCCAGATTAGATATAGCTGATATGACCTTTGCCACTTTCAGAACTGAGCCATATGTGCCATAGTTTCCCAGCCCAGATGAAGCCCACATATGTATGCTCTCTGGGTCGAAGCCGCACGCTCACACAAGACATGCACAATGAGCGAATGCTAATCCTGTGCGCTCGCAACAGAAGACCAACACATCAGCATGAATGTCAGAATCCTGAAGTGAAGAAGTGAAGTGAAATTCATTTTTTTCACTGTAAAGCAATTGTGTGTATGTGGAAAGTCAGACTGTGTGACTGTGAGGTTCATAACACCAGGACAGGAAAAGCCCTTCATCTACAAACTAAATACACATCACACAAATGGCCATTCTCTCATGCTAAAGCTGTTCAGAACAAACCATGTTTCTGAAGAAAACCGACCGCAGCAGTTTCAGTTTGACTTGAACAGGCTTCACTCTGGCAATGTGTCATGGCAGATGATTTTTGCCACTTCGCAAAACTCCATTTTTAAATGTATAGTCTGACAAATATTCAATAATCTAAAATATTACTAACCTACTTTTTCATATTTGACACTTTCAGAAACTAACTACATTTCAGAAACCATTAATGTTAACGTTTAAAAAATATGTTTTCCATTTTTCACTAGCGCTGGGTCATTTGACCAAAAATAATTTTGTCTCATAATTTTTTACTTTTCCATGACTGTACCTTTATTGTGGTTTATTTTACTGTCAGGAGGAGTACATAGAATAGGCTATAAAAACATTTCTTCAAATCAATTTAAAAACAAGTTTACTGTTTAAATTAAAACGCATGAACACCTTTGTAATATTGCTTAAAAATAATGTTTTATTATTTTAAAATTATTATTATTATTATTACTTTAAGAAGTACATTGTACCGTGCAACATTAATATATTTCTGTCATAATTTCTTCAATTTAGACCAACCTTTATTTTGGTGGGTTGCAATGAAGACCTTTGAGTTAATGTCTGTATTAATAAAATATTATCATTAATATTGTTGAACTTGAAGAAGGGTCTAGAAGTACACTCTGTCATAATTTCTTCAAGTTAAACCAAACTTTTATTTCACAGGTTGTTGTGAAGAACTTTGTTTCTGTTTATGCCATGAGATAGCAATGCAGACTTCAGATTCCAATACCACTCTTTTTTTTTTATTGTTTCGTTTTGACAGTGCAGCATTTTTTTTTTATCCGCAAAACTGTTGAGTGATCTCATTTCACACATATTTTGTTTCTGTGTTGATTCTATATTAAACTGTCAATACAATATGTAAGATATTTTCTCTGGCTCTTTTTTAAAAGTATTTTGTTCTGTTTTTATGCTTGTTGTTGTCACCTGTTGATGCTGAACAAGCAGAATGTGGCGGCTGGTCATGTGGTATTAGTCCCGCCCCTCATCCACTGCTTGGACGGTTGAGTAAAAAGCGGTAAAAAGTGACAGTGAAAGCGCTATTTTACCTGGTTTTACACCAAAGTTCAACTCTCGGCGACCAGTAAAAAACGCCGGGCGCTTCAGCGTGAAAAAACGCTCAGCGCCTCGTGCTCATGGCGTTTAAAAAAACTCGTCACTCCCATTTAAAACATTTGGAAGAATACGCCAGACGCATGAAAAAAAAAAACGCTTTGGTGGACACACGGCCTATGTTCCAGATGATTCAGTCCTCGTCATATGGCTCTACTTGGTATTTGCCATAAAGAAAGTTAGTTGTGTGGGTTATTTATTGTTATGTTAAAAAGTTATAACTATTAGTAAGAAGGATAAGGAGTTAATAAATGTAACCTCTCAAAACACTCTGTTCGTGGCCATTGAATTGTTGGAAATTGTTTTAGTTATGCACTAGAGTATGACGGTACTTGAAAGATATATCATATGCGAATTGAAACTGGTGTATGCCCAGCACAGCATTACTTTATACCGTATAACTAAATATATATAACTTGTAACAGTTGAAAACAGTGCTGTGCTAGAGATATATATCATAACACAGATGCAGTGTGTGTGTTTGTGTGTGTGTGTGTGTGTGTGTGAACTCAGCTGTGGTCAAACTCAGTGGCGGGGAGGACGTACACTAGATTGAGTGATCAGCAGATAGTTTTATTAGGTCAGTTTTCACTGAACTGAGAGAAAATGTTTCACATGTTTGTTTTGTTCTTTTTGTGTTGGTGGAGTCTGATTGGTAAGTTATACATATATTTTTACTCCCTAATTTCGGTTACACTTTCTTTTACGTTGACGTAGTTACATTAGACATACTCAAAAACTCAAAGTGATACTAAATAGGTTTAGGTTTAGGGTTACTTATTTATGCATAATTTACTGTTATTAATATTGTATTTAGTAACATAACTACGTCACCTTAAAATAAAGTGTTAACCTAATTTCTTTCAGTTTTAGAGAAATAGAGCTCTTGCTATATGTTCAAATAAGTCAGTGGATTTGCATTTACTGTTCTTCTAAAATAAATCAAATCTAACACAGATATAAGTGAGATTTCTACTTAGAATTCCACTTGAAGTTTTACACGGCTGAAATGAACTTTTCATGATAACTTCAAAAGTTTAATCTGCTCCAGAAGCCGATAACTTCAAAATACATTAAAGATGTCGCCCTTTTATTGTGAGTCTCTTGCGCTTCTAAATATTACAAACTGATTTCAGCTTTAAACCTCTTCATGTTCATCAGGTGTGTTTGGTGATTCGGTGTCAGTGATGGAGGGAGATTCTGTTACTCTAAACACTGATCTCACTGAAATACATGAAGATGAAGATATACTGTGGAAATATGGAGCTGAAATGTCTCTTATAGCTCAAATCAGTAAAGCTGCTGGAGTCTTCTCCACATATGATGATGTTCCTGATGGGAGATTCAGAGACAGACTGAAGCTGGACAATCAAACTGGATCTCTGACCATCACACACACCACAACTGAACACACTGGAGATTATAAACTACTGATAAGTGGAGCGAAACGATCATCAAAAACATTCAGTGTTTCTGTCTATGGTGAGTGAAGATCATTTCTTCAGACCTTCAAATATTCTTATGAAATTGTTAAGGAATATTTTGGGTTCAATACAAGCCAAACCTAATGTCGATTACCGCAAAAAAAACAAAAAAAAGATTATAACAAGGCGCTTACAATGGAAGTCAGTTTCGTAAGGATTTATAAGGAGAATGTTTTTAATGTTTCAGCTCTTTAGTTAATCTGTAATATTTAAATGATAGTTTTTGTGCTGTTTTAAAATTTTAGGAGTTCTTTTGGCAAAGGGACGAAATTATAAAATTACACAACTTTACACATGAAAAGTTAGCAACTTTTCTTCTTCTTTTTTTTTTTTTTTACTAAAATCATGTTAACATTCACGTTGTTCATGTCTTTTGGATGTACTGATGAAAACCCATTGTAAGAGTCTCACTGTAACTCTCGCTTTTCTGCTGGACAAATGAAAATAATGTGGTATATAAACTTTTACAGAACTCCGAATTCTCCATTATTTTTATTTTTGACATGTTTAATAATTGTATACTTTGAGATGATAGAAATACGCTTTGACTATCATTCCACTACACTGGAAATAAGATTTACGTTAAATGTATATATAACACATTTATGTTTATTCTCTCATATTTTCCAGCTCGGCTGCCCACTCCTAACATCACCAGAGACTGTTCGTCATCATCAAATTGTTCATTGGTGTGTTCATCATCAGTGTTGAGTGTGTGTGATGCGACTCTGTCCTGGTACGCAGGAATGAGTGTATTGTCCAGCATCAGTGTGTGTGATCTCAGCATCAGTCTCTCTCTACCTCTGGAGGTGGAATATCAGGATAAAAACACCTACAGCTGTGTGCTGAACAATCCCATCAGCAACCAGAGCACACATCTGGACATCAACACACTCTGCAGACACACATGTGCAGGTACAGCACCACTCATCACACATATGTGTGTGTGTGTGTTTACTGACCTGATCTCTGTCTTCTGTTCATTTCTTTCTTCATCATTACAGCAGACACACACTCTTCTTCACTCTCTCCAGTATCTCTGATAGTGTTGATCTCTGCTTCTGCTGGATCTCTGATGATTGTAGTTATAGTCGTGATCTTCTGCATCTGCAAGAAGTGTAGAAAAACAGGTCAGGAGAGTACATTATATCAACTACAAAATAACTTTAAATGATTCATCTGAAGCATTCCTTACATATACACACATTTCTATATAAGTTTGCAAGCTCTGTTGTTTCAACTTGTCTGTATTATTGTTAAAGCAGTTCAGACTGATGAAGAAGACAGAAGTCATTCAGCATTGTGTAAACCATCAGCACGTAAAAAGGTAAGAAGTTGTTGCAGTCAGTGTGTGTGACTGAAGCTTGTCGGTTGAAGTTTGCAGCATCAGACGCTATAGACTCAACGGTCACTGTCACCTTCAGAGCAGATCAAAACGAGAGGTTTTTAATGCTCTAGTAACTGTTTGCACCTCAGTGTATCATACTAAGTTTCCTATTTAGCACAGATCAATTCATTAGCACGTAGAAAATGTAACTCCGATAAAGTGAACAGGTTCACATGACCACAAACATTGTCGGCTAATTAGGCGTAGATTGCGTAACTTACATTTAAACACAGGCTGGAAAGTTTTTACTTTTTGTAATGTTTTTTACTTTGGTCATTTCAAGCCTAGTGAAATATTTAATTAACTGTTGGCCTAAATCTGTTTAAAACTTCCATGAAATACGGGATCGTGCTGTATCAAAAAGTAGCTTAGCATATGCTTCCCGTTACCCGGGAATGCGTGACGTGAGTATTTGTCCCCTATTTATTTTAAAAGGAGTTAGCAGTGTGTGGCAAATAATTTTTTTTTTTTTTTTTTTAAATCAATTTGGCCTACACTAGTAGTAAAACTCATTCGGGCGTGATTGGATTTTGGTGTATTTTTATTTCCATAACATGGAAATACAATGAAGTCTAAATGGAGTAGACCACTAAAAAAAAAAAAGTATCAAGCTGCACACTCATATATATATATATATATATATATATATATATATATATATATATATATATATATATATATATTACATTATTAGACAGATCATTAATTAGTGTTATAATGTTATTTAGATTTGTATTAAGATTACACATGTATTATTAGAATGTTATTAAGATTATAAATAATTGTATTATTCAAGTATTAAATAAAACATAACTAATGACATTTAAAATAAGAGTAGAAAAAATATTTGATTTTGATAAAAATAGGACCAAAATTATACACGTAGGTTATAATTTAAGTAAATTAATAATTACAGATTAAAAATGCATAACAGGCTGGCACATAATGACAAATTTGTTTATTGCAAGTTCACATGGCCATTCCCATGTTTGATTTATTTTATGTTTATACGTTTTGAGCACATTAAGATTTTTTTTTTTTTTTTCCTTTTTAACAACATGCAGATTGTCTCTTTACGGAGTGATAACATGAATACGGCATGGTAAAGAGAACCACCAATGAAAATCAATGCATGCGTATCGGATGTGCTGCTTTCTGCCTGAAAGTATAGGCCTAAAAGTGTTTTTCTTTGTGTATAGTTCATAAATGCGGTGCTATGACTTGTAGTTATAACACATTTGTGCTTTACACCAGCCAGCCAGTGGTCTATGCCTACTAATTTATGTAATCTTTTGTTTGAATTTGAAAACATATATAAACATTTCTGACTGTTCGTTTCATCCTTCTAAAATCACCCAAATTCAGCTTCTAAACCATTAGGTCGTCATCTGAATAGGACACTGAGCTGTTCCTCATGTTGTGCTGCAGTGTGTCCTCGAGCTGCAGCGTCTCTGCGGTTCATCAGTATCTGAGCTGAGGCACTGCAGCTTTAGCAAACATTGCTTTCTTTGTAGACGTTCTGCAACTGAGTCTCTGCTGTTGCTTTAGTAAAAGACAGTTGTTCTCAGACTGAGACTGCAAACCTGCACAACTAAAATTGTTTGATGATTTAACCGTTTCAAAACTCATGATTGATGTCATTTCCTCTTGCTGCTCTATGTTAGCATCTCAGTACAACAATGTCTACAGTATTCAAAATAAAAACGCAGCATGCAAGATCATCCTTTGGAATAGTATGGAATGATAGAAAATTATGTTTTTTAAAGGTTTTATTAAAAGAATGAAACCTGTTATTATATGTCTGTTATTAATTTCTCGGCAAGTTCCTGATTGAGTTTGTGTTTCCTTTCAGAAATCAAAAACGGAGTCTGTGTATGAAAATGTCCCCAGAAAACGATGATCTTTATCCACCAGGACTGATGGAGTCATACTGGATCCGGTCGCACACCTTTTGTTTTTGCTCACATTTATTCCCCGTTTTCACTCTCTCTGTGTGTGTGTGTGTTATTGTGATGTCTGAAATTTTGTTATAATTTAGTGGTTCCCCAATTGCATATCATCCATAAACTCAACTAAAATGCTCTATTTTTATCATATTGTAGGCTACATAACTTTCATAAGTAAATATTGATTCCACCCTTCACTGTGCTTCTACGCCTGCCATTACTCTTCTTGTTTTTAAAAATAATCAATTGAACTGCATTGAATAGTGGTTTAAGTAGCAGACACAAAATAAGCTGTTTGATATTTTAGCAAATCTAACAAGCACATCATCGCTCTCTAGTGTTCAAAGCGGAAAATCACATCTCTCTAATAATATCTCTACTTTTAACCGATAGGGTGCGCTATTTTAGAGATGTTGATGCTCTAGATGTCATATTTTAATCTAATAAAATCAGTTTTATATGATGCTTGCCGTCCTCCAGTGATTTTTTTTTACTGATAAATTGTGGATTTTTGAGTATAAATGCTGCTAAAACAGAATATGACTGAGATCAGTGTGAAACAGTGATTTTCACTGGAAAAAAGGACTATTATACAAGTAAAATTCATAACGCTCAGTTACATGCAATCAATGTGAAATATACAAGATTATCCTAGAACAGCCTTCACCTCCCTCCAATATAAATAAACGGGAAAAAAAATCACAGTTGATTAGACATTGTTCATATTTGATTTGTACAGCTAGTTAGCTTTAGTAAATGTCAAAAGTTGAATCCTAATGTTACAGGTGAACATGAGTCCATCAGTAAATAATGTACAGAGACGCTCACTCTATAAATGATTAACTTAGTTCAGATATTTCTGATAACAAACTCAGATTCCAGCTGTGATTGAAACAGATCAGTTTTAATGTCATTCGTCGCATGAACACACATTTCATGACATTTCATCGTTCCAGAAATAAAATAAAATTTTAAAGCACATTTTCACTTTGCTGTTGCAACTTGAAAAAACAAACAACAAACAAATGCCTTAAAAAAGTGGAAGGCACCAAGTTCTGTCTTCTACTGAGGTTGTGTTTTTCTGAGGCCTATAATACTCTAAGACACTGACATGAATTTCCTGAGAACATTTACAATAAAGTACACCGTGACCCTTCTAAATCCTGCAGTTGATTCGGGAAACACAGATGTCAGAGTTCAGAGAGATCTGATGATGTTCTCTAAGACATCGAAAATCAAACAGGATAAACTTAAGAAACAGAGATTTCGGAAGTATTTCGTGTATTCAAGTGAAAAGCTTAAAACATCATTCAGATGCATAATACCAGTAAGTGTGCTTGCACAGCAGCCAGTTACGGGTATAGAACATAAAACACAACAATATGTTGTAAATAAAAATACAGTTGCCATTTTTTTCCACAGTGTCTTCCGTTACAGGTTCAGTTCCTGAGATTGAGAGTTTGAATAAGAATGGTGATATTTCAGGGATCAACCCTCGTAGGATTTTAACTGACTTTCTTTAACCACAAAGCTATACGCCATTACAAACATGAACACAAAGTTCTTCATAGACTTAAAAAAAAAAGGATTCCAGCTGAAAACACCAGCGTGAAGTAATGTGATTATCAGACACAACAGCATGCAGGTGTTTTCATCAGGATGTGCCTCTAGTTTCTTGAGCAGCAAAGAGACTTCTTTTAAAAACATTCAGGCACTTAAATACTTCTTTTGGTCACCAGTGTACATTAATCCAAGACATTTTTGGAAATATTTATTTTGAAGGTGGGGTTGTGTGTCACGGATTGTGAAAAGAAATGTGTTTTGCCCTGTATTGGACATTTCTTTGTTGACTACTTAACGTATTTATATTCTGCAGTTGTATGAATGTAATGGTTGCTGTTTCAATATACTAACTGAAGAAGCTAAACAACCAATGCCTCTACAATCATTTTTTCAGATGCTAACGTTTTGTTTAGAATACTGTTTTTTTTGATACTAAAGACTTGATTTTTTTTTCTTCTTATATCTGAGTAATGCATGTTTTTTTGTGTTGTTTTTTACCAAAAAAAAAAAAAAAAAAAAAAAAAACCTGTCATAACCTTCTTCCTTCCCTCGCACTTTGTAACATATCTTTCCCTTGTGGGTCAAAATTACCCCAAGTAATTTTTTTATTTTTTTTTTGAATTTGCAATTTTTTTATATATATATTTTGTTTCTAACAGTATTTTTCTAACAATATTTTATATTCTGCAGTTGTATGAATGTAATGGTTGCTGTTTCAATATACTAACTGAATAAGCTAAACAACCAATGCCTCTACAATCATTTTGTCAGATGCTAACGTTTTGTTTAGGATACTGTTTTTTTAACAATGTGTGCAGTGGTTGACTTCGTTAAAATTAACACAAAACCCCACCTCATTTTTATACGTGTAAAAAAATGAACACATAATTTCCAGCATTGGCATATTTAAAATGTTTGGTAACGCTTCCTTTTACAGTCCTGTTACCCACGTACTATGTACTTATTTTAGTAACTACAATTACTGGGTAATAACTAGTACTAACCCTGAACCTACACCTGTTCCATGTATTTACCTTATATTAGCCAGTACTTTCTAGGTAAGTACACTGTAAATACTGTACTGTAAAAGGGAGCGGTACCAAATGTTTTAAATACAAAAATGGTTTTGTGTAATCATTTTGTCTAACTGATTGGAATGTCAGTAGTAGTAATGTAGGATAAAAATGCAAATTAATTATATTTCAAAATTATGAAATTTAATTTATATTTCAGTTACAATAAAAAAAAAACCTGGAAAAGTCTAACAGTGTCTAACACCCTTCACTGTGATTCTTTGCCTGTCATTTACTCTTCCTCTTTTATTTTTTATTTTATATTTATCATTGCATTTACAGTATCACACACAAAAAGCCCTGCTGGATATTTTAGCAAATGTAACAAGCACATCATCGCTCTCTAGTGTCCAAAGCAGAAAATCACATCTCTATTTCTCTAGAGATGCTGTTGTTCTAGATGTCATGTTTCCCTTTAATAAAATCAGCTTTTTGAGAGGTTTAGCACGCTCATGCTCTCTACTGAGATCGTGAAACAGCAATGTTGAAAACTGACTAATATTATGCGTTGTGTTATATATTGTTGTCAATTGACAATATAGTTTTATTACTAGTATGAGCACAGACTCAATTCAGTACCCGGCCGAGTGTTTGACTGACAGTCACTCTGTGAAGATCTGTGGACATTACTTCATTACCTCTATATAATGAAAATCAAAGCACTCTATTGTATTGCTGCCAACACATTTCTTTGTTTCTTATTTTATAGCTTATTAACTGTTTGTATTTCTCAAGCAACGTTTACATAATAAAAAAATAAATGAAAATAAGATCTATATTTTGACATGCATTTTTTAAATGACTTAACTGAATTAGAGTAAATTAGTTTGAATTTGAATTAGTTGAGATGCTGTTGAGGGTGATATTTCAGTATTGTGCCTAATAGTGTAATCTCGGTATTGTGGCACTATTTTTCCTCTTCGTGTGGATCTAAATAATAAAATAAATAAAAGTTTGTAGACCAACTTTGATGATGGCTTGAGAAAGCATAGCAGGGACATTTTAAGAAGTTAAGGTTTTCAGTTTAAAGGTTATATGTTTTAAATATTTTTAAGTTTTAGTTTGGTATAGTTCTACAAGCTAGTGGGTAGAAAATATTAGATACAACGGAAGCTTAAATTTAATTTATGGCTTATAATATTACACAAAATGGCAGCTTAATTGAGTCTAAAGGGTTTCTGGCAGTTTAAATGAGACTTTTGAACATTCAGTCAATGTAACAGCATAGGGATTATATTAAAGTTTTGATGGTAATATTTTGGATCTCCTAAGTTCATATAGAAAAGTAGGAGAGTTAGGGAGAAGAAGAAGAAGAAGAAGAAATGAGTCGATCAGAATGTTGATTACTGTGGTCTCTACTTGGTGTCTCAATGCCAGCCTCGGGCACAGGCAGATAAGAGGAATCGCCATCCATCTGTAAGTCACCCTGTAATAAAACAGATTGACAGAAGGTAAAAGAAAGGAATAGGACTGATGATTCATTGACACAAATAGAATGATACTAAAGACATGAATTTTTTTTCTTCTGATATCTGAGTAATGCATGTTTTTTTGTGTTGTTTTTTACAAAAAAAAAACAAAACAAAAAAAAAAACACTGTCTCAACCTTCTTCCTTCCCTCGCAATTTGTAACATATCTTTCCCTCGTGGGTCAAAATTACCCCAAGTAATTTTTTTTTTTTTTTGAATTTGCAATTTTTTAGCATTGCTTTTGATTTTTTTTTTTTTACCTTTAAATAAACAATAAATAATACATAAATAGCAATTTCAGCACACTCCTCACATTAAGTTAAATTCCATAACCATTTGAAATCAGGTCAAAATCTTACATTGGGCCTCTTTGCCAATCTCTAGTGGAAAAATAATAATATAACATGATATTTCATACTTTAGCCACTGAATAGCCTTATAGCTCTTTGCAGCAAATGAGCATCAGCAATCAGCAAGTATGCATTAAGCTAGTAGATAGTAGACATTATAAAATACATTTTTGGTAAATATTTTGAATTTGTTGTTAGAATTTTTAGGTTTTTCTATGTGTACTGAAGCATTCCTCGCATTCCAGTAATTCCTAAGTTTTTAGTTTGTCAAACTGTCTTGTGAGGGAAGGATTCGTTACTTTTAAAAATTTCAACCACAAAACTTCTCAAATCCATTTTTTTTTGTTAGTATTCATGGTTCATGTGCGACAAAAATATTCTTATTTTCAGAACTCAAAAATTCCTCCGCACAGCAAAAATAGCTTTTGTTGAAACCATCTTCATAAACAACCTACACATCTAGAATGCTTGAACTATCATACTGGTGAATATGAATAATACAGTACTGGGGCCTCATGTATAAACGTTGCGTGCGCACAAAATGGGCATAGAAATATGCGTACGCATTTTTCCACGCGCACATCGGGATTTATAAAAAATAAACTTGGCGTAAATAAGTGCGCACCGTAAGGATGCTCTTGACCGTGCGTACGCACTCTTTTAGAAGAGTATGGGTTTTGGCGACACCGATGGTGAGCTGGAGTCAAATGTCTTTTTGCTCACTATTAGACAGAGAATCTAAAGAAAATTATACATCTACAGAAAGATCATACAAATATAATTTCACAAACCTATCATCACTTGAAGCAAACATCCATCCCTTCTTAAATGACCGCGCCAGCACGCGCGTTGGGCCGTTTGGTGAAACTGACGCATATAGCCTATAATCTAACGGCAGATGGAGTAAAACCGTAAATCTTCATTATGAGTCCAAATCATAAATACAGTCCATATTCACAATTACAGTTTAAATAAATAAGAGAATGGTTTAAACTATGTTTTACTTCTGATATGAACATTTAGCTAGATTAAATATGCCATTATCATTAATGGAGTTAAACTCTTAAACTACATGAAATCATTACTGAGAAGTTACAATATATATATATATATATATATATATATATATATATATATATATATATATTCAATAAATAGAAATAGACCTATTTGTTGTGGATGCATTGCTTTTGAACACTTTTCTTCTGGCATGCTGTGTTTTGATGTTTTAACTAGAGATTGTCTGAGAAAACTGTTTCGTACAAATAATGCACAACCATCTCTATCTCTTTCCATTAAAATATGAATCAATTAAAAATACTATTTGGCCAGTGGAAAAGATTGAGAAAAACTTTCTCTGAAATGTATTTAACACTATTTGATTTATTCATTCAAAAACAAGGCAAGGATATAGGCTACTAAAAAAAATGTTTGTAATAATGTGACTGCACATCCGCATTTCATATTGTCCTAACGTCTTGTACCGTTAAACTTGGTATCACGTGGATGAATAATCATATGCAAATGATATGCAGATGAGGATATGCATATTTAAACTAGGCGTTGTAATCTCCATATATGGTTATTTCGGGGAGGAGATGCACGTGCGCACAATCTCCCGCTGACTGGGATTTATAAAGTGAATTCTGCGCAGGTTCTGGCGTACGAACGGTTTTATAAATCTGAAAACTTTTGTGCGTACGCAAATTCTGCCTTATGTGCGTACACACACTTTAAGGATGAAATCTACGCAAAGTTTTATACATGAGGCCCCTGGTGCTCTTACCTACTCTCTTAATAAAGTTGCATATTCACTGCACGTGCGTGCGTGTGTGAGCAAGACACCTAACCCCAGCTGGATGGCACCTTGCATGGCTGACACTGCCGTCGGTGTATGAGTGAGTGATTGAATGGGTGAATGTGAGGCAAAAATGTAAAGCGCTTTGGTGGCCATTGGGTCTGTGAAAGCACTATATAAATGCAGTCCATTTACCATTTACCATGAAGTCTTTTACCACGAATTTTTTGTCATTTAGTTTATTTGGGAGTTTATTTGTAAGAAACATTTATATTACACCGTGATCATAGACTAGAGTTGTAACAGCCTCTATGGCAAATAAACAGAATTATAAAAATATAATGACAGCAATAAAAATTATTTTAATTTTATAATAACAAACTGTATTCATTTTTATTGTATTGTAAAACAGTATGGGAGCAGTGAAGTCTTGAAGTGTCAGTTATAACTGGTGTTTCTATACAATGATTTCTGAGTGAAACTACATAAAACACTCAAACATGTTACAAACTCACAGATCTGAATCAGTTTTCTACAGGCAGATTCAGTACTCATATATCTTACCCTAGAAGGGGGATCCATACTGTTGCCCAATGCTGTTGCACTGTGGTCTGCGTGGCCTGCACACAATACATTGCTTAGTAAGAATAAAAATGTTCATTTTTAAAGATTTAAATTTTTAAACAATAAATATCACATTTTCATCTTGTTAAATCAACTGAATGTAATACTCACGTCTGTAAATCACAGCAGCAGCAGCAGCAGCAGCAGCAAGCAGCAGAACACTAAGAACAACAGCGACGGGGACAGCGACAGCATGTGTCCCTGCTACAACAGCTGAAGACAGACCGTCATTATTACTTACAGAGTGACTAACAACTTTACCAAAATATAAGTCTGCTACTTTGGTCATCATTTGTATCACATTGAATTAACTTCCTGTCTGTGTCTCACTCCACAGAGTAACTGCGGTGTGGCAACCGAACCTAATCTTGCAAGAATAAATACTTCTCTTTTTTTATTAATTTGACTGATTTTCATGTTAATTGGATTAAATTATCGCAATTATATTTTAATATTGGGTTCAAGTCATTATTTCGAAGAGACCACAATGAAAACATTTACTGGGTTGATTAAAGTGACTTAGTGATACTCACCAGTGACAGTAACACTGAAGTTCTTCATGATGCTGAATCTGATGTTGCTGATCTCTAGTTGATATTCTCCAGAGTGTGTGTTTGTGGTGTGTGTGATGGTCAGAGATCCAGTCTGATGAACCAGCTTCAGTCTATCTCTGAATCTCTCTTTACACTGATCATCTGTACAGATCTGACTCTGATCTCCAGTGTTTTCAGCGATGAGAGTGTCATTAAAATACCACATAATCGAATTATTTGTTTTTTGTACTTGACCAGGATCTAAAGTGACAGACTCTCCCTCCTTCACTGACTTCCTCTTCATTTTATCTCGTTCTGAAGCAAGAACATCTGAAACACAAACCAACAGCTGATTGTAGATCTACACAACATCAAGAACTGTGGATATAAAAAATTTACTTATCTTTACTTTAGCAAATTTCTCATTTGTTGACCTTTAGTGCTTATAAAACACAATTTGCATAGTTGTTTTTACATCAAATCCTCTGCAGTTGGATCTAGCCTGGGAAAACCCAGACAACTTTCAGCAAATTTAGATTTGCTCTGAAAGTTAGTCTGGCAAAGAGCTCATTCAAACCCATTTCCAGTCCGCAGAAATCGCGGCACCAATCAGAAACGTTGGGGCGGGCTTTACACGATGACGACAGCACTGGGATTTTGAAGCAGATTTTGTAGTCTACATTACAAAGATGGATGCCGCCGTCGAATATCACTCGCTCGAATCAGCTATCGCATCTGTTTTTAAGCGATTTGAACATTTCCTTTTTGTTAAAAACCGAGCACAGAACAACACTCGGAGATGTTTCTCCGCCGGCCGCCGCTCTGCAAACGTCATCTCCTTCATCGCTCTGATCTACTCTTTTAGGTCTACCCGCGACATCCATTGGTGACGCCCCTCTGGAAATGGTTTGTCTATGACGCTTTGCCAGACCATATCTCAGTTACAACTGAGAATGGTGTGGTTTTAACCAGGCTAGTTTGGACTCCTAGTGAACTAAAAAAATGCATTGCAGATAAGTAGTATGAAATAAAAGATGCATTTAAAGGTGCAGTAAGAAATCAACCCAAACAAACACATCCATCCCTTTATTGCCTCTTCCCCAAATTGCATGAAGTTTATATCAAGTTGATATCAATTTATCATATTTGAAGCAGAAAAATTAATTTCCGGGGATATTCCTCTGACCTTTTGTACTGTCTCTCAGCCATATCTCTTTCTCTGATTGGCTACAAGTGTGTTGTTGTGCTCAGTCTAATCCACTTTTGTTTCTCAGGAATTGCTTACTGCACCTTTAAACAGATGATAATTAAAAGTGATCAGAGATTGTTTGATGAGGTCATCTTCACCAGACAAAACTAACAACCCAATAATGGTAAAAACAAATTGGTTTAAAATTTTACAAGAACCTGTGTCCGTTCTCAAACTGTATATTTAAAAAAAGAAAAGTGGGATCCAGGCCAGAAAGATCAGGTCAATTCAGACCATAAAACTGGCTGGTCTCTGTTTATTTAATTATTGCTGTTTATTTAAATTAAGTATACACAGGCTTTACAATGGCATGTGAAAGTGATTTGAGTGCTTGAAAATAAATTTTCATAATAGATGATTACTAGACAATGCATTTTTCTATGCTCACAGCCAATGATTATACTTTAACTGTGTGTGAGACTGAAAATGAAGTTTAATTATATAGCCTACTGTGTATCTTCTGTCTTTTGTGACATAACGCAATGGTTAGACAACACCCATGATGTGTGGAAAACGTTCTAAATGTTCTCTGTTTGATCAATTTATCGACTAATTATTCAGAAACATCTTGATGTATTCTCAGAGGTTCTACTGCCGGAGTCTCTCCTTCATTAGTGTCCGACTCCACCTCTGGCATATACAGTGGGGGCAAAAAGTATTTAGTCAGCCACTGATTGTGCAAGTTCTCCTACTTAGAATATGAGAGAGGTCTGTAATTTTCATCGTTAGTACACTTTAACTATGAGAAACAAACAAAAAAAAAAATCCAGGAAATCACATTGTAAGATTTTTAAAGAATTTATTTGTAAATTATGGTGAAAATAAGTATTTGGTCAATAACTAAAGTTCCAATCAATACTTTGTTGGCAATGACAGAGGTCAAACGTTTCCTGTAAGTCTTCACCAGGTTTGCACACACTGTAGCTGCTATTTTGGCCTATTCCTTAATTCTCTGCTGGACAACACGGACTCCACAAATTGTCTATGGGGTTGAGGTCTGGAGACTAGCTAGGCCACTCCAGGACCTTGAAATGCTTTTTTTACGGAGCCACTCCTTCGGTGCCCGGTTGCGGTGTGTTTGGGATCATAGTCATGCTGGAAGATCCAGCCACGTTTCATCTTCAAGGCTCTCACTGATGGAAGGAGGTTTTGGCTCAAAATCTCACGATACATGGCCCCGTTCATTGTTCCCTCAACACAGATCAGTTTTCCTGTCCCCTTTGCAGAAAAACAGCCTTAAATCATGAGGTTTCCTCCCCATGCTTCACAGTAGGTAAATGTATGGTGTTCTTGGGATACAACTCTGCATTCTTCGTCCTCCAAACACGACGAGTTGAGTTTAACAAAAAGTTCTATTTTGGTTTCATCTGACCACATGATATTCCTCCAATCCTCTTCTGGATCATCCATATGCTCTCTGGCAAACTTCAGACGGGCCTGGACATGTGCTGGCTTGAGCAGGGGGACACGCCTGGCACTGCAGTATTAGAGTCCCTCTCGGTGTAGTGTGTTTCTTATGTTTGTTACTTTGGTCCAGCTCTCTGCAGGTCATTCATCAGGTCCCTCCGTGTAGTTCTGGGATTTTTGCTCACCGTTCTCATGATCATTTTGAACCTGCGGGATGAGATCTTGCGTGGAGCCTCAGATCAAAGGGGAGATTATCAGTGGTCTTGTATGTCTTCCATTTTTTTTCTTACAATTGCTCCCACAGTTGATTTGTAGATTCACTCTTCCCAGCCTGGTGCAGGTCTACAATTTTCTTCCTGGTGTCCTTCGACAGCTCTTTGGTCTTGGCCATGGTTTGGAGTTTGGAGTGTGACTGTTTGAGGCCGTGGACAAGTGTCTTTTATACAGATAACAGCGTCAAACAGGTGCCAATAATACAGGTATCGAGTGGAGGACTAAAGAGCTTCTTAAAGAAGAAGTTACAGGTCTGTGAGAGCCAGAAATCTTGCTGGTTTGTGGGTGACCAAATGCTTATTTTCCACCATAATTTACAAATAAATTCTTTAAAAATCCTACAATGTGATTTGCTGGATTTTTCTTCTCATTTTGTCTCTCATAGTTAAAGAAAATACAGACCTCTCTCATTATTCTAAGTAGGAGAACTTTTAACAGTGTCTAATGAATCATTTGTGGGGTATTTTAAAATGATACTTCCCAACGACATTCTGAAGACACCTGAGACTTATACTACATCTTGTAAAAAGTGGCACAATATATTGGTCCGCTTTAACAGCAAACGTGAATAAATGTGAGTTAAACATCTCTGAATGTCACTGTAAAAATATCCCTAATAGCAATTTTGATGCAATTTAAAGGACAAGTTCGGTATTTTACAATTAAAGCCCTGTTATAAGATCGTCCCTGATGAAATAGAATAGTTAAGATGTTTTTTTAGACAGATGCTCCTGTCACGAGGATTTTTGGATTCTGTGTTAGCACCCCCCCCCCCCCCCCCACACACACCTTTACAATGGTAGCATAGGTGCACTCGAACAATCATTCATTAAAATCCATTTTCTTCCTGTTTTTGACCCCACAGTAGTCGATTGTCGAGTTTGCGTGCGCGATCCTTAGTTATCTAGTTACCAATGATCGCGCACATGAACTCGACAATTTACTACTGTGGACTTCGACCGAAAACAGAAAGAAAATGGACTTGGACAAAAAATACGATAAAACCTGTTGGAAAGCATATTTTGCAGCGATTTTTGTGTGAGCATATCAGTGAACACCCCAGACCACTCGGTGAGTTTCACATCTTTGTAAACTAAAGTTTTATGCATTTTAATGAATGATTCTTCGAGTGCACCTATGCTACCATTGTAAAGGTGAGGGGGGGGGGGGGTGCTAACACAGAATCCTCGTGACAGGAGCATCTGTCTAAAAAACCATCTTAACTATTCTATTTCATCAGGGACGATCTTAAAACAGGGCTTTAATTGTAAAATACTGAACTTGTCCTTTAAAGTTACAGTTCTTGTTTTTGAACTTAGCGACTTACCACGAACAGAAATTTGGAATTTCTTCCTGATGATGGTCCTGCTGCTGATGATGGTTAGTTTGTAGAGTCCAGAGTGTGTGTTTGTGATGTTCATGATGGTCAGAGATCCAGTCTGATTATCCAGCTTCAGTCTGTCTCTGAATCTCTCTTTACACTGATCAACAGTACAGATATTACTGAGATCTCCACTGATTTGAGTGATGCCAATGTCATTAAAATACCATACAATATTTTTTTGTTGGTTTGATTGAACGTTAGTGTGTAGAGTGACTGAATCTCCCTCCATAACAGACACTGGCACTTCATCTGTATCAACACCAGACACATCTGAAGAAGAAATGAACAGTTCATTATACGCCAAACAAAATTACAAACAGGAAAGTGCTGTGGAAATGTTTTCTACAGATCAAAAAGATTGCAAATAGAGAAATATGTCTGGATTCATAATGTAACATGCAAACAAACAGCAGAAGAACTTAGTTGATTTACACATTCCACTCATCAGACAAATACACATATTCAGTCTCAATGATGCTCTTATACATGATGACTTCTTATAGTGGATTGACTGATGAGATCAAGAATGTATATATTTAATGAGTCAATACTATTATACTCACTTGCGACAGTAGCAATGAACCTCTTCTTGATGGTGCTTCTGCTGTTGATGATCTGTAGTTGATAGAGTCCAGAGTCTGTGGATCTGGTGTTTGTGATGGTCAGAGATCCAGTCTTTTTGTCCAGTTTCAGTCTGTCTCTGAATCTCTCGGTGCCTTTATTACACTGAACATCTGTACAGATAAAACTGTGATCTACAGTGATTTGAGCGATACGAATGTTATTGAAATACCATTTAATCTTCTCTTGTTGGTTTGCTTGAACACCAGTTTTTAGAGTGACTGAATCTCCCTCCATCAGTGGCACTGCATCTTTATCTACACCAGACAAACCTGAAGAAGAAGAAGGATATGAATATGAAGAATATGAAAAGCTACTGAACTAAACCATCCAAGGTATTATCACATAATTATTTTTGGTTGATATTGCACACCCCAAAATGTAGCAAATGCAAACAGACAGCAGAAGAACATCATTAATTAACATGTAGGGGCAGATACAAGCTCACACATCATTAATATGCTGACATAACATAACTCTGGAGCGGTTCGTTTGTGGTGAGAACGTGATCCGACCTCGAACAGACCCAACTGCCAAATAACAGCGCATTTTTGGACTAAACCAGCTGCAAAACAAAATGATTATTTATATAGCCAATATCGCTCCCTTTAAGCCATGACTGACTTACCGCGTTCTGCACTCTCACTAAAACACTCATCATAAACACTGAAGTTGTTTGCACAGGGAATCAATTTGGCCAATAATGGCAGACAGGAAACAAGGAGCTGGCTGAAGTTCAGGAAGTAGTGCAGCTGGGCATAAAGCCAATTCATGAATATCCAAAGGTCAATCATATTAATAACTGTTATGTGTCCGACGTTGTAGAGTAGTCCATAAAACGCATTACCATTCTGATACATCGACTTGTAGAGGAGCCTGTACAATACTCTATTCCACTACTTCTTCTGTTAAAACATATGCCTGAATTAAACCTGTATTTCCACTTGCCATTGTGCAGCGTTTACTAGAACAGTTAGTTAATTATTAGTAAAGTATAGTTTATTAGTAAAGTTAAGCTTGTGGATCTCTGCAAGTGGTGCTCGCTGTAGAGTCAAATAACGCCTAGCGATCTGATACTAATTAAAGGCATGAATGTTTTTTTTTTGTTGTTGTTGTTGTTTCATAGTACAAAACAGTTTGTCAATCAAAAAAACATTATTGACTACAGAGGGACTTTTAAAAATACCTACTTACCACGAACAACAATAGAGTAGGGTTCTCCAGTGCCATGAATTCTGCTGGAGATCCATACGTCATAAAGTCCAGAGTCTGTGGTTCTGGTGTTCATGATGGTCAGAGATCCAGTCTGATGATCCAGCTTCAGTCTGTCTCTGAATCTCTCTTTACACTGAACATCTGTACAGATCTTGCTCTGATCTCCAGTGATTTCAGCAATGCTAATGTTCTTAAAATACCATATCATTTCTCCATGTTTTTTTCTTTCTGTATGATATTTTAGAGTGACTGAATCTCCCTCCATCACAGACACTGGCTCTCTATATGCTGCACCACATAAAACACCTGAAGAAGAAATAAACAGAACCCAAACAACGACACAAAAATCACGTTCACATTCATTATTAATTTTGATAGTTGACCAGACTGTAACAAATATGCCTTAGAATGGTCTAACAAAACACACACAGGCCTAATTTACGTCGAATATGAAATTAACTTTTTGTTAGACGTTGGTTCATCAATTAACGTTAAATTGACGTTCGTTCATCGTTCTCCTAAAGAGACCAAACTAATCATAACTTACAAATGTCTTACCGTACAGAAGTAAATAAATGCGAAACCAGCGCATATTTGAGACAATCAAGATTTCCACAATGTTTGCCTGAACTGACAGCAGATTCGGTGATGGAAAAAGTGCTGTTTCACCAGTGAAACTGAAACTAGCCTAGCCTGATGTGATGATTCCAACGCTCTGTTTGTAGAGATGGGTGGTTAGGCTTGTTTGACCCCTGCCCTGCAATTAAGAGAAGAGATGAGAGGAGAGAAAAAAGTGCCGCAAAGCAGGACGTGCACTCTCTCGAAATAAACATTAATCAGATATCACAGGCGGACCTCGAGTGTATTCACGCTCATGCGCAGTGTTGCTGCTCGCTGGACATCACTGGTTCGTTGTTTTAAGACGTACAACATCCAAATCATTTGCTATTTTATTCCATTCGAAATGCGTGTTTTCCATTATTTTCTACTTTAATATAGGCATGTTTTTATTTATTTATTTATTTATTTTTTATTTAGAAATATGACAGTTAAAAGAAACAGACATAGCACTGGCAAAAAATTTAGTAATGGTCACACATAATTTATTTCGCACAAAAAAAAAACATTATGGGGTGAATTAAGGGGAATTGGGGCATAAGGACTGGGACAGTAAGTATACAGAGTGTATTTTCTCACCTAATGAGTAAAAATAAAAAACCTTTTTTTTTTTTTTTTTTTTTTTTTTTTTTTTTTTGCTGAGCCCTAGCTGTGTGATTACTGGCCTGAAACACATGAACTGAGGAAAATGACATCAGCTTTCGGTGATTTCATAATAAGGTCCTAAAATGGTTGTACTATATTGTACAAACTTTTGATTGAAACACAAATATGATGCACTACTGATAGAAAAGAAAAAAGTTATAAGTTATATTTGTTTCTATTTTCAGTATAGGTTTTTATTTTGTCCTAATAGAATGATTTTGGGTGATTAGGACAGTGCTTAAAGGCTTTTGCCAATTAAGGAAATGGTTAACCTCGCAATAGAGAACCACCATTGTTTATGCTCGTATGCTCTAAATCAGTGGTTCCCAACCTCTTTATTTGTGTAAGCCCTAATCAATAACAAAAATATTCATGAACTAGCTAGATTTTGCTCAAATAAAACAGTTTTCAAGCATGAAAACCTGTTCTAGAAGAGCCCAGAAACAAAATCAAGATTTGTGAAAGGGAATAATATGGCTTCTTTAAACGTAATGAGTTAAATCCAGATAAATTGCTGACTGAATTTGATGGGGAAATATTTGAAGCACAAATCCTGGCTGCGGATGAGAGGATGTGATGTGAAGTTGCTCAGCCTAAAATGATACTTGATCATATTTAAAATATGATAAGTGTGTTTCTTTAGTTTTTCTCCGTGTCAAACAATAGCCTATGTCTGATCATGGTTTATTGTTTCCATAGTTCCAAGTCCAAGTCAAAAGCTAGTAGCAGGTCAGGAAGAAGCTCTTCACCTTTAAACACACCTGATCTGAATGCTCACTTTCACCCACAAGATGTTTGTCCACCCGACAGATCATGTTTCTCTGAAACCTATGTGCAGGTTTCAGTTTGACTCAGAAGATGAACGTCACATGGCATATGGTTTTAATTGTGTGCTTTGGTGTTTCCGTACACTAAAACTATAAATATATTCAAGCATTTTAAAATCGATAGAGTCTGGATCCATTTTACTATGACATGTAGTACTACAAACCTTAAAAAAAGCAAAATAACAATCAATGTCAAAAAATTATAAATGTTTTACACCTTCATGAACGGTTAACACACACACACATATTTTAAACACATTCATGTTCAGAGCATCAAACGTTGTCAGAGGGAGGATTCACAAACCAGAAGAACAGCTCGAGTGTTTTCATCGGATATGGTCTTTAGATCAGATTTTTTAGTGAACCGTTGAATAAATGATTCACATGTTTGTTTTATTCTGTGTGTGCTGGTGGACACTGATCGGTAAGTTATAAAAGCATTTTATAATATATTTACGGCTTCATTTCTTTATGTATCAGGATAATAAAGAGATATCGCTTTCATCAGCAGAGTCCAAAAATCACAAAGTTTTTAATTGGATTTTCTGCACTTTCTATTGTGATTGTAAATTTGTCTAGATTTCCTAAACCATTGACCTGCTTGCAAATCACAGGCATCTTTTGTTATAATATCTTAAGATCAAGAATTAAAGTGCAATTTTATACAGCAATTTCTAAGAAATATTTTTTTAAAAAATGATTTAGCTTATACTACAAAGTGGAAGTTTGGATAAAAAGTGTGGAAACCCTGACTAAAATCAAATAATGAATCAGATGCAGTGAGCCTGTTTTGTCCAATGATCTATTAGAATAAATTAAGATGTAATTATCATCATGTATTTATTCTTTAAAAACTTTACACTTTGATTTTACTCCACTGCAGATAAGTTTAAAATAAAAATAAATATTTAATTCAGTGAATAGAATAAAATCTAGCTGATTTCAGGCTTTATAAAAAGATTTAATACGTCCATATTCATTTTCTTTTAGGTGTGTCCGGTGCCGAAACAAATGAAATTCAGTCAGTGTCAGTGATGGAGGGAGATTCTGTCACTCTACAGTCTGATGTTAGATTAACCCTACATAAAGATCAAGACCTTGTGTGGAAATTTAGAAATGAAACATCTTTCATAGCTAAAATTAATAATAAGAAGCAAATCTTTTTCACATCTGATGGTCCTGATGGGAGATTCAGAGACAGACTGAAGCTGGACGATCAAACTGGATCTCTGACCATCACAAACACCACAACTGAACACACTGGAGTTTATAGACTAGAGATAAGTGGAGCGAAACTGACATCAAAAACATTCAGTGTTTCTGTCTATGGTGAGTAGAGATCATTTATCCAAACATTCACATGTTGGTTTTATAAATTTACTCTAAACTCATTACATTAAAGTAAAAATAAGAACGCTGATTTGTTCCTATTTCTTTCACGTTATCCAGCTCGTCTGCCTGTTCCCGTCATCAGTAGAAACTGTTCATCATCATCATCATCAAATTGTTCAGTGGTGTGTTCATCATCAGTGTTGAGTGTGTGTGATGCGACTCTGTCCTGGTACGCAGGAATGAGTGTATTGTCCAGCATCAGTGTGTGTGATCTCAGCATCAGTCTCTCTCTACCTCTGGAGGTGGAATATCAGGATAAAAACACCTACAGCTGTGTGCTGAACAATCCCATCAGCAACCAGACCACACATCTGGACATCAACACACTCTGCAGACACACATGTGCAGGTACACCACCACTCATCAGATATGTGTGTGTGTGTTTACTGACCTGATCCCGGGACTCATTCTTTCTGTATCATTACAGCGGACACACACTCTCCAGTGTCTCTGATAGTGTTGATCTCTTCTGCTGCTGCTGGATCTCTGATGATTGTAGTTATGGTCGTGATCTGCAAGAAACATAGAAAAACTGTTCGTGAAGGCAAGCGTTTTAACTACAACTTTTAAAAAAGTAATATGAAAGAATACTCTAATATTAAAATTTTCTTACAATTATTTTCAAAACTTTCATAATTAATGTCACATGGGCCTAGTTCCTTTTTATTAGAAGAAACGAAAATCATGTGTGCTCTTGGGTTTGGCACCTAAACTGAAATATGTATTCATGTCATGTCACTAGACCGCACTCTTTACTCGTCTCACTCACACAAACGGCATTAAAACACACTTTTTTTTTTCCACACAGGATTTTTTTTTTTTATGAACCATCTTGCATGTGTTTAAGGTTTTAGTCTGTTCCTGGTGTTCAATAAACATTTTTTCCCCATTATTTTTGAGCTTTAATGAAAATTATATTAAAATAATTTCTAAATATAAATATTGCGTACTCTGATGACTTTTTTATGACTGTTTAAAACTGTTGTCAAATTGAATTTTTTTTTAAAAAAATGCAGTATTAAATATTTTTTTAAGTAATTACATTTCTTGATAAGAGACTTGTTAATAATTCATGTTGTAAATAAACAGATAGTTAAGACTGATTGTTTAATGCAGCATATTTTGCATCTATTCTTGTTTAAACAGTTCAGACTTGTGAAGAAGGAATTACTTACACTAAGCCAAGGTTCTACAAAAGAAATGAACAATCGGTAAGATCATTTAATCTCAATCTTTATGCTGCCTTCTCATATTAGTTAAAAATTGGACATGGTTCTCTCAGGTTAAAAATTTGAATGCTATGAGCTTGTAATCATGACTTCAGAAGCGGGACGGACATTTTGGATAATGCATTAGATATCATCAGTCTCGGTGTATATTCAGCCGTGAGTCACACATTTAGTTGTTTGAACGCTTGAGTTTTTGTCTGTTTAATGACATATCATTCTTTACAGCACCATATTACAACTGCAGCATTCAATATGAATAGCAATAAAAAAAACTGAATGAGATTAGTAATACTGTTAAGATTACTAGTGGTTACAGTCTCACTACAAGACAAATGCCAAAAGAAATAAGGTATATTTTCAAAAAGGTTTAGTGTCAGGCGTAGACAAGGCCAAAATAGCAAACTAAAACAAATATTAGTTTAACCTCTACAATTCCTAAAACAAAAAATAGAGAAAACTAAATACAATGTCAACTTACCTATCTCCCTAAATCTAAAACAAAGTGAAAAGATAGAAAAAATAAAATGGTATAAAATGGTAAAATGGTAAATATAAGCGGGTATGGTCAGTGTAAATAATAACAGATTGTGAACAAAAATGTTGGATGGAAAACATGAAAAACATTGATTGGTAATATCAGCCTGGGCAGATAAGTGTGACAATTTCAAGTTCAACAAAGTTTCAGAATTTGGTCAACGAGCAGACAAGAACGAGGCACTGTTGATTTCCATATTATCACTTTCAGGTGAATATTCTGACAATGGCAGTATGGCACGGTCTCTGGTACAACAGTAGCAACACGTATGTTGACCTCATTAGCATCAGAATGTGGCACGGTAATTTTAACTTGACAAACTTTTGACATCATTTTACGGTCAGGGGTATTAACAACATAGTGGTTAATATATTTCCATTCCATTGACTCCCATTCATTTTGAAAGTATGAAAATAAAGTTATTCGCTCTGACAGTGATCTGAGGCGTCCAAAGACTCCATTTGTCCAGTGTATAAAAGGCACCATTACCTTGTATCTTACAGTACGTTACGGCCTCGTAGAAGCCTTTTTATAGACTAAAAATAGACTAACGATTGCGTCATAACACTCCATTCCACAGTAGAGAAGTTACCGTGTAGACAGGGGGAGAAGCTCATGGCAATCTTTTACCGTCTATGAGGCGA